TGACTCCACTTTTTGCAATCGCTTTATCCTGACTTCCCTTTGGAAGGGAATATAGGGTGAATATAACTCCCATATACGATCTTCTGATATTCTCGAAACTATTTATAAGCTGAAAATATGATCAGAAGGCTGTTTCCTTTTTTCCCTTCTTTGGCTCTACTCTCTTTCATTTTTAATCGTTTACTTCATCCTTCGATGTTTTCTTGCCTTGTATAAATATTTTTACGCCTTTCTTTTATATATTTATACATTGCCTCTATCTCTTATTTTCCTTATTTTTTTGTAGGTATGTATAGCCCCTGAACCAGCTGATTCGAACTTTCTTTCTCCCGCAGACCTGGCCTTGAGTTCCGGGCACCAAAATCCTGCCCAACCGAGTCAAATCCAGCCTCGCCAAACGCCAATCGCTCCCATAATTGGACTCAACCAACTCGTTACCATTGTGTCTGTGCACGCGCTTACCATAAGTAGTCAGTCGACAGATTATCTAGACAATGTGTATGAAGATGAGACAGCACATGAGGCCTTGAATGGCATCACTGATGGACGATTAAACGCGTCCATGATTCTGCCACTCATGTTTCGATTCATCCTTGCTGAACTGGAATGCCTGCCAAGCTCACTTAAGCTAGAGACAATGACGGTTGATTCCATTACTCCAACTTCCGCGGCTGAGACCATAGAAGGATCGGCTGAGGCGATCACGAATTGGGCTCCGCTATCACTGAAGGAGGATGGGTCAAAACGAGCAAAGGTAGGGCTATTTGTCATCATACGATCCTGAATGCTATACCAATCCATGATTTGTTATGAAATCATTCGGACCTCTATTTTCTCCCATTTAATATTCCTTTTGCTGATTCTATTATATAATGTTTAAATTTAACGAACCCTAAGCATATTTGTTGCCTAAGTTTCAAGTAACTAACTGATTTGAGGAACTCAGAACACTTTAATGAGATGTATTCACACTATTTTATTTAAGGTGATGAAGGAGTGGCGGTTGCATTTTCCCACATTGATATGAGTAGAGCTGGCGTTTCCATTGAATTTCACATAGCCTTGTTTTCCCAAAAGTTGTTCTCAGCCAGGATGGACTAGAGTTTCGAACTCACCTGGGTCTTATCAACACTCCTAGCGGGACTTGAACCATGAAAGTGCAGTGTGTAATCTCGACACGTTAATCACTACTCCACATTGCTACTAGTGCACTTGGATCACTGGGAATATGTGAATTTCAAGGAATGCCAGACAATTTTCCGTATCACATTGTTTTGTGATATTATTGAGGAAGCAAAGTTATATTTGCTATGACAATCCACTGCATTACCTATTTTTGGTTAACGTGTCGAAATTACATACTGCACTGTTAT